TGGTGGCTTGTTTGATAAGATTGGAAAAAGCTTCAGATATTATTATGAAGAGGTAAGGAGATAATGGATCGCCTTGTCTGAGGCCTCTGGAGGGTTTGAGAGAACCAAGAGATTGGCCATTTATATTGAAAGTGAGATGAGAGGTAGTGAGGCAAATCATTATCCATGAGATGAAAGTATGGCAAAACCCCATTTGATGACATATAGCTGCTAAGAAAGGCCATTCAAAACAATCAAAAGCTTTCTGCATGTCTAGTTTGATAGCCATGAAACATTGATTGCCAGGTCTTTTGCTGTTCAGGAAATGTATGCATTCATTTGCAATGATAAAGTTATCAAGCAATTGTCTATTGGGAACAAAGGCTGCCTGGTTAGGGCTAATGCAGTGGTGAAGAACCAGTTTGAGTCTATTGGCAAGAATTTTCGAGATGAACTTGTATGTGACAGTGCAAAGGCTAATGGGTCTATAATCGTTGATAGTTTGGGGGTTTTTTTTTTTAGGGATGAGGGTTATAGCAGTGGTGTTGGTTTCTTTTGCCATCCTACCAGAAGCAAAGAAAGACCGAATAGCTTTAAACAGAATAGTATTAACAGTGCTCCAAGAGGATTGGAAAAAAAGTGGGGACATGCCATCGATACCTGGAGCTTTATTAGGGTGCATCTCCCATAAGGCCTTTTTGAGTTCCTCCATAGAAACAAGTATGATTAGATTAGAGTTCATGGCCTCTGAGATTGAGTGAGGAATGCCTTGAAGGCTGGTGAATCTTAATGAGGAGCAGGATGACTTGAACAGCTTTGCAAAATGATTGTGAACCTCCTGAAGGATATCTTCAGTTGAAGAACAGCTTTCACCATTGCTATTCACTATACCCTCCATATTGTTTTTCCTTCTTCTCTGTTGCACACAAGCTTGAAAATACTTCGAGTTTTTATCACCTTCTCTTAGCCAGGTGACCCTAGCTTTTTGTGCCCAATATTTCTCCTCAGCTCATATGCGAGATGCAATTGTTTTTTCAGCTGATCCCATTGTGCCCAATCTCTGTCTGGACCTTGTAGAGCAAAATCTTCTAGTTTTGCAGTCAGGCTGTCAATGGACTTTTTGGAGTTGGTCAGAGTTGCAGATTTCCACTTCAGCAGGGCCACTCTGACAGTTTTGATTCTGGCTTGTATGTTGTACAGATCCTCTCCATGGTTTCCACTGTTCCAAGCTTCTGAGACCGTGTTGGAAAATCCCTCATCTTTAGTCCATCTGGAATCGAAGTAGAATCATTTTCTCTGCTTAATGGTGGAGTCATCAGTATCTAGCATTATAAGGCAGTGATCTGATGAGAGGAGCGGAATGTGCTTTGCTTGGGACTTTGGAAAGAGGAGAGCCCGTTCAGGTGAAACGAAAAATCTGTCGAGCCTTTCCTCTATAAAATCACCGCCTTGCCTGCAATTGTTCTAGGTAAATGGATATCCCTTATAGGGAATTTCAGACATCCCCATACAATTAACAAAAGATTGGAAGGATTTGAGGCTTGCCTCACTCCTAGGAGAGCCACCTCTTTTTTCGATGTTTGACAAGATGTCATTGAAGTCTCCTCCTAGGAGCCAAAATTTCCCCCAATTTAATTTGCATTGACTTAAGAAACTCCATTGGATTTCTCTGAAATTAGAGTCGGTACTAGCATGGATAAAAACTGCCCAGAAGGTGGTGGGGACTTTGTCAAAAGCGAAACAGACTTGAATAGAGAAGTGGTTACTAATAATTTGAAAAATAGTAATACGATCTGACCAACACAAAAGAAGCCCACCACTAGAGCCATCTGGGGTTCAAAATACCAGTTATCAACCAGTTTAAGTTTTCTACAAACCGAGAATACAAATTTTTGGTTTTTTTAACTTCTGAAAGAAAAAAGAAATCCGGGAGGTGAGCCCTTAGAGTCTCTCGGATTTGGGAAATTGTAGAGGGCCCTCCCAGACCTCTACAATTCCACACCGAGACTCTCATTTGGAACTTTGGGCCCAGTTTTGGCTGGCTGCCCCCACCTTATTAGATTGGTCAGAGTGTTGGTCATTATCACAAGAAGTAAGATAAAGAGGTTTGCATTTTTTGCTATCTGGGGAAGGGATGTCTGTGAGAGGATTTTCTTCTTCCAAAAGAGGCCTTTTCTTATTGAGTGAGAGGGGGCAGTCTTGGTTCATAATTTCAACATCAACAAGCAGAGACCCTCGGGAATTAGCCCTGGTTTTCTTGGAGGATTTAACTGGTTTTTTGCCTCTCTTCTTTGAAGGAACTTGGGTGCTGAGGGAGGGGAAAGTAGGAATTGTGATTGGTGTGTCTGATTGGATTGGTATGTCTGAGAGTTGGAGATGGGGTGGTTTATTTAGGATGATTTGGTTCGGAGGAGTTGAGAACTCGATTGGCATAGGGTCAGTATGATTGTTTGAGTTATCACTGGGATTGATGCAAATAGGGCCACAGAAGTTTAAATTGGCGGCTTGTTCAGAAGATGTATTTTTTGGAGAGGAGGGCTGGGCTAATTTATTAGAATCCCCAATTTCACTGGTTTTACCTGGACTAGTAGTTTTTGTCAAGTCTTCGTTGGATTGATTAAAGACTCTAGACCAGTGGAAGCTGCCTGAACTTGCTTTGATCCATTCCCCATACTGTCCAGGACGGTGCTTGTTGTTCTTAATATCCTCTCTCATGTGGCAGCAGTTTCTCTCGCTGTGGCCGATTCTTCCACAGTAATAGCAAA